ATATATATATATATATATATATATATATATATATATATATATATACAGCCAGCAAAAGGCAAACACTACAGATCTAAAGTTTTTACACTAAAAACTACAGATCTAAAGATTTATTATAAGGGTCACTTTTTTTAAGACATAAAAAAAAACAGGTATGAGTAGATGGTTAACAAACTATGAACAACTGAACTGTAAAGTGTAAGTTAATAATAGTTGAGCTAAGTTTTTAGTTTGTGTATGTTATTGGGACGTTCTAAAGTTGCAACTATTCCTCATTTACTAACAGTTAATAAATAAAAAATAGTTGCAACTAGAATAACGTCCCAATAACATCTATAAACTAATAACTGATACTTAACAAGTCTTTAGTAAGTAATTTACCAACAGTTTGTTCATGATATAATACTAATTTATTAGATGAAGTTATAAATCATTAAAATACAGTTAACAAGTCATTTACAACTTGTTAACTAACAGCTTGTAATTTATCTGTTGGCTATCTATAAGGCGCAGTTATAAATAATTAACAAACTATTAACTTTTATTTAACAAGTCATTTATACCTCATTAACTAACAGTTTATTAATGATCTTTTAACTAGTTATAATAGATAGTTTTTCTTAAGTGTTACCATAAATAGTAATTCTGTTATTTAATAAAATATTTATAATAATCAAGAAAAAAAAACTAAGAATTATTCTAACATTTATATATTGATACTCTCTAGCTTCTTTTGTCCTCATTTGTAAGTTGCTTTGGATCAAATCATTTGTTAAATTACTAATTTTTAATTCAAATGTAATATTACATTATTAAAGGTGTTGATTTAAATTCATCTACTGTATCTGTGTGTCCACAGTAACAGACATGGCATACAGGAAAGTGCGTGCAGGCCATGGTTCTCTCCGTGTGCGGGATCTGGAGAACGAGGAGCTCCACACGGCTTCCCTGGAGCTAGAATGGGACATGGAGAAGGAGCTGGAGGAACCGGGTCTCGACCGCTTCCAACTGGAGTGTGTGGAGCATCAGCCCGTCAGCAGCTCTTCAGGTGGGACCATGGACCCAGACCTGGAACCAATTCAACCATCCGTCTCCCCTCACGGACGCTTTGAGAGGCTCCAGGAGGACCCGAATTACGTTACTCGATTCAGCCGGACGGTTCCCAAGGGTCAGAGACAAAATTGGACCTGTGTGGCCAAATACCTGCTAGTAGGAGTGTGTGTGTTTGCTGCGGGACTGCTCATTGGACGATACACATTCAGCAGGGTGCAAGTGAAGGAAGAGCCGATTGCAGACACAGACGTACTGGAGAAGATTGGTCTGGGAATCACAGCAGAAAAGATACAGGCACTGCAGAGGTAAATCTTTCATTTTTTTCTATCAGTTTTCCCTTGAATAATACTGGAAATATACAGCAGTTTTAATCTGACAAAAAGAGCAAAAAAAGGCTGAATCTTAAATCTGATTGGCTCATAGGCGTGATATATTTAAGTAATATCAGCACCCGTAAAGCCTATTTACCCTTTGTGTATTACTCCGCTCACATACAACCAGCAAAAAGCAGACACTACAAATCCAAAGTTTAAAAGAAGCTTGCTCAACTGTTTAACTGTCAGCTTATGTTTTGAATCCAAGGTGGAAGAAAGTAGTTTCTCATACAAAAGGGTTTTTGAGACTCTCCATGTTTAATTTAGTTTTTATATACACAATTATGCCGTCAAACTGTTGTATAAACGCAATATCACACTCGTAGCAGTGCGATATGGCTGTATATTGGCACTGGAGGGGGCACTAAGGCAACCAACGCACGCCTTCCACCAGTGCCAATATACAGCCATATCGCACTGCTACGAGTGTGATATTGCGTTTATACAACAGTTTGACGGCATAATTGTGTATATAAAAACTAAATTAAACATGGAGAGTCTCAAAAACCCTTTTGTATGAGAAACTACTTTCTTCCACCTTGGATTCAAAACATAAGCTGACAGTTAAACAGTTGAGCAAGCTTCTTTTAAACTTTGGATCTGTAGTGTCTGCTTTTTGCTGGTTGTATGTGGGCGGAGTAATACACAAAGGGTAAATAGGCTTTACGGGTGCTGATATTACTTAAATATATCACGGCTATGAGCCAATCAGATTTAAGATTCAGCCTTTTTTTGCTCTTTTTGTCAGATTAAAACTGCTGTATATTTCCAGTATTATTCGAGGGAAAACTGATAGAAAAAAATGAAAGATTTACCTCTGCAGTGCCTGTATCTTTTCTGCTGTGATTCCCAGACCAATCTTCTCCAGTACGTCTGTGTCTGCAATCGGCTCTTCCTTCACTTGCACCCTGCTGAATGTGTATCGTCCAATGAGCAGTCCCGCAGC